GGAACACCCGCAGTGTGCTGCTGCACTATTCTATATAACAGTTACATGGTGTGGAACACCCGCAGTGTGCTGCTGCACTATTCTATATAACAGTTACATGGTGTGGAACACCCGCAGTGTGCTGCTGCACTATTCTATATAACAGTTACATGGAGGGAACACCTGCAGTGTGCCGCTGCACTATTCTATATAACAGTTACATGGTGTGGAACACCCACAGTGTGCCGCTGCACTATTCTATATAACAGTTACATGGTGTGGAACACCTGCAGTGTGCTGCTCCACTATTCTATATAACAGTTACATGGTGTGGAACACCCGCAGTGTGCCGCTGCACTATTCTATATAACAGTTACATGGTGTGGAACACCCGCAGTGTGCCGCTGCACTATTCTATGTAACATTTTACATGGTGTGGAACACCCGCAGTGTGCTGCTGCACTATTCTATATAACAGTTACATGGAGGGAACACCTGCAGTGTGCTGCTGCACTATTCTATATAACAGTTACATGGAGGGAACACCTGCAGTGTGCTGCTGCACTATTCTATATAACAGTTACATGGAGGGAACACCTGCAGTGTGCTGCTGCACTATTCTATATAACAGTTACATGGTGTGGAACACCCGCAGTGTGCCGCTGCACTATTCTATGTAACATTTTACATGGTGTGGAACACCCGCAGTGTGCTGCTGCACTATTCTATATAACAGTTACATGGAGGGAACACCTGCAGTGTGCTGCTGCACTATTCTATATAACAGTTACATGGAGGGAACACCAGCAGTGTACCGCTGCACTATTCTATATAATAGTTACATGGTGTGGAACACCCGCAGTGTGCTGCTGCACTATTCTATATAACAGTTACATGGTGTGGAACACCCGCAGTGTGCTGCTGCACTATTCTATATAACAGTTACATGGTGTGAACACCCGCAGTGTGCTGCTGCACTATTCTATATAACAGTTACATGGTGTGGAACACCCGCAGTGTGCTGCTGCACTATTCTATATAACAGTTACATGGTGTGGAACACCAGCAGTGTGCTGCTGCACTATTCTATATAACAGTTACATGGTGTGGAACACACGCAGTGTGCTGCTGCACTATTCTATATAACAGTTACATGGTGTGGAACACCAGCAGTGTACCGCTGCACTATTCTATATAACAGTTACATGGAGGGAACACCAGCAGTGTACCGCTGCACTATTCTATATAACAGTTACATGGTGTGGAACACCCGCAGTGTGCTGCTGCACTATTCTATATAACAGTTACATGGTGTGGAACACCCGCAGTGTGCTGCTGCACTATTCTATATAACAGTTACATGGAGGGAACACCCGCAGTGTGCCGCTGCACTATTCTATATAAGTTTAATGGTGTGGAACACCCGCAGTGTGCTGCTGCACTATTCTATATAACAGTTACATGGTGTGGAACACCCACAGTGTGCTGCTGCACTATTCTATATAACAGTTACATGGTGTGGAACACCCGCAGTGTGCCGCTGCACTATTCTATATAACAGTTACATGGTGTGGAACACCCGCAGTGTGCTGCTGCACTATTCTATATAACAGTTACATGGTGTGGAACACCTGCAGTGTGCTGCTGCACTATTCTATATAACAGTTACATGGTGTGGAACACCCGCAGTGTGCTGCTGCACTATTCTATATAACAGTTACATGGTGTGGAACACCCGCAGTGTGCTGCTGCACTATTCTATATAACAGTTACATGGAGGGAACACCAGCAGTGTACCGCTGCACTATTCTATATAACAGTTACATGGTGTGGAACACCCGCAGTGTGCTGCTGCACTATTCTATATAACAGTTACATGGTGTGGAACACCCGCAGTGTGCTGCTGCACTATTCTATATAACAGTTACATGGAGGGAACACCCGCAGTGTGCCGCTGCACTATTCTATATAAGTTAAATGGTGTGGAACACCGAGTGTGCTGCCTGCACTATTCTATTAACAGTTACATGGTGTGGAACAAACCAACAGTGTGCTGCTGCACTATTCTATATAACAGTTACATGGGGTGGAACACCCGCAGTGTGCCGCTGCACTATTCTATATAACAGTTACATGGTGTTGAACACCCGCAGTGTGCCGCTGCAAATATTCCCATTATAACAGTTACATGGGTGTGAACACCCGCAGTGTGCTGCTCACTATTCTAATAACAGTTACATGGTGTGAACACCCGCATGTGGCCGCTGCACTATTCTATATAACAGTTACATGGTGTGGAACACCCGCAGTGTGCCGCTGCACTATTCTATATAACAGTTACATGGTGTGGAACACTTGCAGTCTGCTGCTCCACTATTCTATATAACAGTTACATGGTGTGGAACACCCGCAGTGTGCCGCTGCACTATTCTATATAACAGTTACATGGTGTGGAACACCCGCAGTGTGCCGCTGCACTATTCTATGTAACATTTTACATGGTGTGGAACACCCGCAGTGTGCTGCTGCACTATTCTATATAACAGTTACATGGAGGGAACACCTGCAGTGTGCTGCTGCACTATTCTATATAACAGTTACATGGAGGGAACACCTGCAGTGTGCTGCTGCACTATTCTATATAACAGTTACATGGTGTGGAACACCCGCAGTGTGCCGCTGCACTATTCTATATAAGTTACATGGTGTGGAACACCTGCAGTGTGCTGCTGCACTATTCTATATAACAGTTACATGGAGGGAACACCTGCAGTGTGCTGCTGCACTATTCTATATAACAGTTACATGGTGTGGAACACCCGCAGTGTGCCGCTGCACTATTCTATGTAACAGTTACATGGAAGTTAAGACACTTGTGCAACATCTGGTTATCTTTATTGTAGACGTTTCGCCATCCAGTGGCTTTATCAATACAAATTTTTTGGACATAATAAGAAAAACCAAGAACTATATACAAAAGAAGAGGTAATCAGTCCCTCGGCTTTGGAGGTGGTGTTTAGAGCACTGGGACTTCGCTGTTTTCCTGCCAAAACCCATACCACTAACTATTCCTAGTTTAAAGTCCTAACTGCTCCTTCCACTGCAGTTGCCAGTGCTACCACCCCAGACCTAGATAAGTGAACCCCATCTCTGGCATACATGTCATTTCTGCCATAGAAGAGGTCCCAGTTGTCAATGAATGTTACCGCATTTTCCTTACAGTATTTGTCCAGCCAGCAATTGACACCAATTGCCCTGGACAACCATTCATTTCCAACTCCTCTCCTTGGCAAAATACCACATATGACAGGGTCCCCACCCTTACTCCTAATTATTTCTATTGCTGACCTATACCTGCTAATCAGGTCTTCACTCCTACGTCTGCCAACATCGTTGCCTCCAGCACTGAGACAGATAATAGGATTGCTCCCATTACCTCTCATGATGTCATCCAGACGGCTAACAATATCCTCCATCCCAGCCCCAGGAAAGCAAACTCGCTGTCTCCTACTCCTGTCCTTCAAGCAGGATGCCCTATCCATATACCTAACTTGGCTATCCCCAACAACAACAATATTCTTACCTTCCTTGGTGTCGTTTGTCGTGATGTTCCCAGTAGTCGACTCACATTCGTCGGGTAGCACTGAGAATGTATTAGATGTTTCCACAACAGTTTCCACAGCAGTCTCTTTCTTCTTCATCGTTTCTACCTTTCCATTCGTCTTCTTGATCGTCAACTTCGTTCCCTGCTGTCCAGCCACTGACCAGTTTCCCTTCTTGACCTGAGGACTCAAAACAAGAGGACTACTACGAATCTTCTTGTTTTCCTCGGTCAGTCGCCGAATCTCCATCTTCGCCAACCTCAATTCTTCCTTAAGCTGTTGGTAAAGTTGCTCGATGGAGGGCATCTTGTTTCAATTTGTAGAAGCGCGCAAACAGGTCTTCACAGAGCTAAGTACACGTCAACACTGCGCAAAAGCCAACTCAATCAGGAGCTACTGCACAGCACGTCCGCACGGCCAGTAGCGATGCCTTGGTACAAGCCACGTACCAAGGATGGGTTCGAACCTATGAACTCCGACAAGGTAGACGCGAGTGTGTATATGTACCAGACAATACTGTCGATCCATACCGATGATTCGGTCATAAATTCGGCGGGACAAATTTACGAGACAACAGAAAATAAAAGTGGCAGATCCGAGCGCTGGAGCTCAACCCTCACTCAAAATCAAAGAGGCAGTTTAAAAAAAAAGTAATTGTCGAAGAGTTCTCGACTGAATGGAAAATGACGTAGTAGAGGAAGTAATGGAATCAGGACGAAGGAATAAAAGTCAAGCCTAAACAGTATAATAAATAAAACATGATTATTTAAGAACCTTCACCTACATGCCAATACTTCTAATATATATATATATATATATATATATATATATATATATATATATATATATATATATATATATATATATATATATATATAAATATATATATATATATATATATAACACTAGCAAAGGACGAAGATGAGAACGTTTGTCCGTGAATCTAAGTACGACAAAATCAGTTATTAAGAACGTATCAGTGATCAACTGATGGTTGAGAAGCAAGGCTCAGGAGCTGCAGCTCGACCCTGACATAGGACACACATTAAGAAGCACTGAGAGCATAGATAACCATAAAAATGTTCCACTTAAAAAATAATTATTTACATGAGGCTTCAAACCTTAATACAAAGGAACATTATGGACCTTGTATTTACGTAATTATAAGTCAAATTTAATGGTCAGTGTTCAATAATAATTCACATGGAGATATAAAATCAGAAGATTAATTAATCTGTATATTTTCGGTCCCCTTCTGGGATCCTCTTCAGCAGAAGAGGATCGAAATATACATATCAACTAATCTTCTGAATTTCTGTCTCCATTCTGGTTATTATTGAGCAATGACAAGTATTCATTACATTTAATGGTCACTGCCATAGCTCTAAAAAACAAAAACAAAAACGAGAAGCAACTTACATACAAGAGTGGCATGGATCACGTCCGTGGTAGTGGCATGACCTCAGGAGCGGGGGAGGGGCAGGGCACGGCGTCAGGAGTCAATTGCTGCTGGAGTTCTGCCGGGGACCCGCCCTCTAGTACCTCGCCCTCACCACCAGCACCTGTAGAAATATATGTTGTGATCTCTGTGTGATGCTCCCTCCTCTTATCACAGGCACACACCGACACAGTAGTGAGGAGACGGTGCCAGGAGACACAGATGGTAAACACGGTGATGAGCAATAGAGACGTTAGGAAGTACTTATTCAGTCTTAGGGCTCTCTAAGGGAGGTTCTCAGTGCCAGTATGGAGCTCTTGATCAAAGGAATTGGTTCTGTCCATCCCTTAGATCGAGCCTGGCGCTATGCGATCCCTACGGACTTAGCGTTTCCCTTAAACATAATAAATTAAAATTAAATTGTAATAAGCAACTATTGATGAATAAACAGAAGGGTGGACGAGAGGCTGGAACCGCGTTCCATAAATTGACAGTCCGACGCTCTGCTGTCTAGGCTACCTGTTAGGTTAGCCTTAACAGTAGTCAATTTACGCATCGGACCCGTCAATTTCAGGACCGCGGTTCGAGCCCCTCGTCCACCCTTCTGTTCATAACATAACAGCAATAATTTAACCTTAACTACACACAGATTCAAGAAAGGGTATGATAGAGCCCTAGAGGCCAGTAATCTGTGAAACTGGTCGATAAGATGAAGGCTGCACCAGAAGACACTTTGTACATATATACACACACACACCCAACACAAAACACAACATACATACCACAAATAACACATAATAGCACACACCACCAGACAGCACAACAGCGTACTACACATAATACACACACACATAACACACACAACCACACACACACACACACAAACACACACACATACACTACACACACACACATACACACACACACACATACATACACACACATACACACACACATCACACACACACAATACACACACCATACATACACACACACACACACACACACACACACACACAACACACACACCACACACACACACACACACACAACACACACACACACACTTCACTGACACACAGTCCACTTTCACTGCCAGTTACATACAACTTCGCTAACTAGTATGTTCCTGCCACTGGTGTGTGTGTGTGGTGTGTGTGTGTGCTGTGTTGTGGTGTGTGTGTGTGTGTAGTGACATTGCTGTGTCTGCCATAGTGTGTGTTTGTGTATGGTAGTGTTATATCTGTATTGTGTGTAAGTTGTAGTGTGTGTTGCTGATGTGTGTTGTGTGTGTGTGTGGTGTGTGTGTGTGTGTGTGTGTGTGTGTGTGTGTGTGTGTGTGTGTGTGTGGTGTGTGTGGTGTGATGTCTGTGTGTGTTGTGTGTGTGTACTGGTTCCTGTGTCTGTCGTGTGTGTGTGTGTCTCACCATGTGTGTTGCAGGATCGAGACTCGTCTGGGCCGCTCTTCGATGTGCTCTGGTTGCTTCTCCTGTCGTGTGTGTGTGTTGTACTCACCTAGTTGTACTCACCTAGTTGAGGTTGCGGGGGTCGAGTCCGAGCTCCTGGCCCCGCCTCTTCACTGATCGCTACTAGGTCACTCTCCCTGAGCCGTGAGCTTTATCATACCTCTGCTTAAAGCTATGTATGGATCCTGCCTCCACTACATCGCTTCCCAAACTATTCCACTTACTGACTACTCTGTGGCTGAAGAAATACTTCCTAACATCCCTGTGATTCATCTGTGTCTTCAGCTTCCAACTGTGTCCCCTTGTTACTGTGTCCAATCTCTGGAACATCCTGTCTTTGTCCACCTTGTCAATTCCTCTCAGTATTTTGTATGTCGTTATCATGTCCCCCCTATCTCTCCTGTCCTCCAGTGTCGTCAGGTTGATTTCCCTTAACCTCTCCTCGTAGGACATACCTCTTAGCTCTGGGACTAGTCTTGTTGCAAACCTTTGCACTTTCTCTAGTTTCTTCACGTGCTTGGCTAGGTGTGGGTTCCAAACTGGTGCCGCATACTCCAATATGGGCCTAACATACACGGTGTACAGGGTCCTGAATGATTCCTTATTAAGATGTCGAATGCTGTTCTGAGGTTTGCTAGGCGCCCATATGCTGTAGCAGTTATTTGGTTGATGTGCGCTTCAGGAGATGTGCCTGGTGTTATACTCACCCCAAGATCTTTTTCCTTGAGTGAGGTTTGTAGTCTCTGACCCCCTAGACTGTACTCCGTCTGCGGCCTTCTTTGCCCTTCCCCAATCTTCATGACTTTGCACTTGGTGGGATTGAACTCCAGGAGCCAATTGCTGGACCAGGTCTGCAGCCTGTCCAGATCCCTTTGTAGTTCTGCCTGGTCTTCGATCGAGTGAATTCTTCTCATCAACTTCACGTCATCTGCAAACAGGGACACCTCAGAGTCTATTCCTTCCGTCATGTCGTTCACAAATACCAGAAACAGCACTGGTCCTAGGACTGACCCCTGCGGGACCCCGCTGGTCACAGGTGCCCACTCTGACACCTCGCCACGTACCATGACTCGCTGCTGTCTTCCTGACAAGTATTCCCTGATCCATTGTTGTGCCTTCCCTGTTATCCCTGTGTGTGTGTGTGCGTGCGTGTGTGTGTGCGTGTGTGTGTGTGTGTGTGTGTGTGTGTGTGTGTGTGTGTGTGCGCGTGTGTGTGTGTGCGTGCGTGCGTGTGTGCACAAACAAAATACTAAAAACGTTTAAATGCATGTGGTTCACCTGAGGCTCGCTTAGGCACTGGTAAAGTGTTCTCTCCCTCGCGTTCTCTCTTCAGTCTTGAGTCGACCGCCTTCTCCTCTTCCCTGGCCTGGTGGAGGAGTGCGGCGGCCACTGCGGCCGGAGGTAGGGAGGGGGGTAGTGGGGAGGCAACTGTGGCGGGGAGGGGAGAGGCCAACGCCGAGGGGAGAGGAGAGGTGAGTGTTGGCGGTAGAGGAGAGGTGAGTGTTGGCGGTAGAGGAGAGGAGAGTGAGGGGGAGGTTGAAGACAGGTCTGTAGAAGTGGCACCAGTGCCATTGGGTTTACAGGAGTCCTGAAGAGAGTCACGGCACCCGTCCCGGATCTTGTGGGTCAGCATGTGCTGCTTCATGTTCCCCTGCAGGAGAAGACCACACTTATCGCTAAATCCAACTTGCATTACTACCACCAGTATTATGATATGTTAATAATAAAATGGCAATACTCATTAGGAGAGGCAATATGTTGTAAATTTAACCTGAATTACTTTAACATTAAGTGTAACAGTAAGTTAAAGTTGCATACTTTTTGCGTTTAATGTGACCGCGAACTCAAAACGTCTTCTCACCTTAGTGGAGAAACCGCGGTCACAGATATTGCACTTGAAGGGTCGTTCCTTATAGAAGCGAATGGGGTTTTTTCCAACCTGCTGACAAGCAAACGTCTTGAAGCAGATGTGAAAAGTTGTTTCCGCGACCTGTGTAGAAGGACAGGCTTTTTAACAAACGTTATTTACAAAACGTTTATTGCCAAAAATAGGTATTTGCGCAAGTAAATAAAGTTTTTTTTAAAGGGGTAAAGAAGAGAAAAATAATATGTAGATGACTGTGTGTGGTGGTGGCATGATGACAGTTGGGTGGGGGGCATGATGACGGGTTATGGTGGTGGCACTGATGACTTTGGTAGGGTGGGGGCACGATACTTTGGTATGGTGGTGGCACGATAATTTTGTTGGGGGTGGCATGAGAAAAGTTAGGGGTGGCATTTGATGACAGTGTATGGGGGTGGCAGATGACAGTTTTGGGGTGGGGGAGATGACTGGTTTGGGGCACGGGGGGGGCCCAATGTGTAGGTGGTGGCAGTGGCATGTGCGGTGGTGGCATGATCATGTGCAGGGGGGGCATGTGACTGTGTAGGTGGGGCACTTTGACATGTAAAAGGGGGTGGCACTATAATGTGATGGTGGGGCACTGATGACATGTGTATGGGGTGCACTGATGACAGGGTTTATGGTGGTGGCACTGATGATGTGTATGGTGGTGGCACGAGACATGTTATGGTGGTGGCACGAGGACATGGTATGGTGGTGGCACTGATGACCCGGGGATGGTGGGGGCACTGATGAAAATTGTAGGTGGTGGCACTGAGACATGTGTATGGTGGGGGCCTGATAATGTGTGTGGGGGTGGCACGATGACGGGTTTTATGGGGGTGGCACTGAGGGACATGTGTATGGTGGTGGCCTGATGACAGTGTGTGGGGTTTGGCACTGATACATGTGTGTGGAGGGGGCACTGATGACATGTGTATGGTGGGGCACTGATGACATGTGTATGGGGGGCACTGATGACATGATATGGTGGTGGCATTTGATGAATGTGTATGGTGGTTGGCACTGATGACATGTGTGTGGTGGGGCACTGATGAAAATTTTTGGGGTTTGGTGGCATGATGACATGTGTAGTGGTGCACTGATGACATGTGTATGGTGTGGCACTGATGACATGTGTATGGTGTGGCACTGAGAAGTGTGTGTTGGTGGCACTGATGACATGTGTATGTGTGGACTGAGACATGGATGGTGGTGGCCTAGACATGTGTATGTGGTGGCACTGAGACATGTGTATGGTGTGCATGATACATGTGTATGGTGGTGCACTGATGACATGTGTATGGTGTGGCACTGATGACATGTGTATGGTGGTGGCACTGATGCCATGTGCCATGGTGGTGGCACTGATGACATGTGCTGGGTGGTGGCACTGATGACATGTGTATGGTGGTGGCACTGATGACATGTGTATGGTGGTGGCACTGATGACATGTGTATGGTGGTGGCACTGATGACATGTGTATGGTGGTGGCACTGATGACATGTGTATGGTGGTGGCCTGATGACATGTGTATGGTGGTGGCACTGATGACATGTGTATGGTGGTGGCACTGATGACATGTGTATGGTGGTGGCACTGATGACATGTGTATGGTGGTGGCACTGATGACATGTGTATGGTGGTGGCACTGATGACATGTGTATGGTGGTGGCACTGATGCATGTGTATGGTGGTGGCACTGATGCACATGTGCATGGTGGTGGCACTGATGACATGTGCATGGTGGTGGCACTGATGACATGTGTATGGTGGGCACTGATGACATGTGTATGGTGTGGCACTGATGACATGTGTATGGTGGTGGCACTGATGACATGTGTATGGTGGTGGCACTGATGACATGTGTATGGTGGTGGCACTGATGACATGTGTAATGGTGGTGGCACTGATGACATGTGTATGGTGGTGGCACTGATGACATGTGTATGGTGGTGGCACTGATGACATGTGTATGGTGGTGGCACTGATGACATGTGTATGGTGGTGGCACTGATGACATGTGTATGGTGGTGGCACTGATGACATGTGTATGGTGGTGGCACTGATGACATGTGTATGGTGGTGGCACTGATGACATGTGTATGGTGGTGGCACTGATGACATGTGTATGGTGGTGGCACTGATGACATGTGTATGGTGGTGGCACTGATGACATGTGTATGGTGGTGGCACTGATGACATGGTATGGTGGTGGCACTGATGACATGTGTATGGTGGTGGCACTGATGACATGTGTATGGTGGTGGCACTGATGACATGTGTATGGTGGTGGCACTGATGACATGTGTATGGTGGTGGCACTGATGACATGTGTATGGTGGTGGCACTGATGACATGTGTATGGTGGTGGCACTGATGACATGTGTATGGTGGTGGCACTGATGGCATGTGCATGGTGGTGGCACTGATGACATGTGCATGGTGGTGGCACTGATGACATGTGTATGGTGGTGGCACTGATGACATGTGTATGGTGGTGGCACTGATGACATGTGTATGGTGGTGGCACTGATGACATGTGTATGGTGGTGGCACTGATGACATTTGTATGGTGGTGGCACTGATGACATGTGTATGGTGGTGGCACTGATGGCATGTGCATGGTGGTGGCACTGATGACATGTGTATGGTGGTGGCACTGATGACATGTGTATGGTGGTGGCACTGATGACACGAGTATGGTGGTGGCACTGATGACATGTGTATGGTGGTGGCACTGATGACATGTGTATGGTGGTGGCACTGATGACATGTGTGTGGTGGTGGCACTGATGACATGTGTATGGTGGTGGCACTGATGACATGTGTATGGTGGTGGCACTGATGACATGTGTGTGGTGGTGGCACTGATGACATGTGTGTGGTGGTGGCACTGATGACATGTGTATGGTGGTGGCACTGATGACATGTGTATGGTGGTGGCACTGATGACATGTGTATGGTGGTGGCACTGATGACATATGTATGGTGGTGGCACTGGTGACATGTGTGTGGTGGTGGCACTGATGACATGTGTGTGGTGGTGGCACTGATGACATGTGTATGGTGGGTGGCACTGATGACATGTGTATGGTGGTGGCACTGATGACAGTGTATGGTGGTGGCACTGATGACAGTGTGTGGTGGTGGCACTGATGACATGTGTATGGTGGTGGCACTGATGACATGTGTATGGTGGTGGCACTGATGACATGTGTATGGTGGTGGCACTGATGACATGTGTATGGTGGTGGCACTGATGACATGTGTATGGTGGTGGCACTGATGACATGTGTATGGTGGTGGCACTGATGACATGTGTATGGTGGTGGCACTGATGCCATGTGCATGGTGGTGGCACTGATGACATGTGCATGGTGGTGGCACTGATGACATGTGTATGGTGGTGGCACTGATGACATGTGTAATGGTGGTGGCACTGATGACATGTGTATGGTGGTGGGCACTGATGACATGTGTATGGTGGTGGCACTGATGACATGTGTATGGTGGTGGCACTGATGACATGTGTATGGTGGTGGCACTGATGACATGTGTATGGTGGTGGCACTGATGACATGTGTATGGTGGTGGCACTGATGACATGTGTATGGTGGTGGCACTGATTGACATGTGTATGGTGGTGGCACTGATGACATGTGTATGGTGGTGGCACTGATGACATGTGTATGGTGGTGGCACTGATGACATGTGTATGGTGGTGGCACTGATGACATGTGTATGGTGGTGGCACTGATGGCATGTGCATGGTGGTGGCACTGATGACATGTGCATGGTGGTGGCACTGATGACATGTGTATGGTGGTGGCACTGATGACATGTGTATGGTGGTGGCACTGATGACATGTGTATGGTGGTGCACTGATGACATGTGTATGGTGGTGGCACTGATGACATTTGTATGGTGGTGGCACTGATGACATGTGTATGGTGGTGGCACTGATGGCATGTGCATGGTGGTGGCACTGATGACATGTGTATGGTGGTGGCACTGATGGCATGTGCATGGTGGTGGCACTGATGACATGTGTATGGTGGTGGCACTGATGACACGAGTATGGTGGTGGCACTGATGACATGTGTATGGTGGTGGCACTGATGACATGTGTATGGTGGTGGCACTGATGACATGTGTATGGTGGTGGCACTGATGACATGTGTATGGTGGTGGCACTGATGGCATGTGTATGGTGGTGGCACTGATGACATGTGTATGATGGTGGCACTGATGACATGTGCATGGTGGTGGCACTGATGACATGTGCATGGTGGTGGCACTGATGACATGTGTATGGTGGTGGCACTGATGACATGTGTATGGTGGTGGCACTGATGACATGTGCATGGTGGTGGCACTGATGACATGTGTATGGTGGTGGCACTGATGGCATGTGCATGGTGGTGGCACTGATGACATGTGTATGGTGGTGGCACTGATGACATGTGTGTGGTGGTGGCACTGATGGCATGTGCATGGTGGTGGCACTGATGACATGTGTGTGGTGGTGGCACTGATGACATGTGTATGGTGGTGGCACTGATGACATGTGCATGGTGGTGGCACTGATGACATGTGCATGGTGGTGGCACTGATGACATGTGTATGGTGGTGGCACTGATGACATGTGTATGGTGGTGGCACTGATGACATGTGCATGGTGGTGGCACTGATGACATGTGTATGGTGGTGGCACTGATGGCATGTGCATGGTGGTGGCACTGATGACATGTGTATGGTGGTGGCACTGATGACATGTGTGTGGTGGTGGCACTGATGGCATGTGCATGGTGGTGGCACTGATGACATGTGTGTGGTGGTGGCACTGATGGCATGTGCATGGTGGTGGCACTGATGACATGTGTATGGTGGTGGCACTGATGGCATGTGTATGGTGGTGGCACTGATGACATGAGTATGGTGGTGGCACTGATGACACGAGTATGGTGGTGGCACTGATGACATGTGTATGGTGGTGGCACTGATGGCATGTGCATGGTGGTGGCACTGATGACATGTGTATGGTGGTGGCACTGATGGCATGTGTATGGTGGTGGCATAAGAATGGTTGGGTGGCACTGATGACACGAGTATGAGGTGGCACTGATGACCATGTGTATGGTGGTGGTATGATGGCATGTGGCATGGTGGTGGCATGATGACATGTGTATGGTGGTGGCACTGAGCTGTGTATGGGGTGGCATGATGACATGTGTATGGTGGTGGCACTGATGACATGTGTATGGTGGTTGCACTGATAACATGGGTATGGTGGTGGCACTGATGGCATGTGTGTGGTGGTGGCACTGATGACATGAGTATGGTGGTGGCACTGATAACACGAGTATGGTGGTGGCAGTGATGTGACCCGTGCTAGGTGTAGTACCTGGCATGCTGGGCAGGTAGAGCGGGTTGAGGCCTGGCATGCTATGTGTTCCTGGCGTCATGACCGCCGTCGTCAACGGAGGCGGGAAGAGCCCAAAAGGTGAGTACAGGTGTGGCTGGGGGCGTGCCGCCAAGTCTAGCGGCAGGGACGCTCCTCCCTCTTGACTTCCTGTACTGACCGCCGGGCTGACGGAGCCGCAAATCTGATCTGTGGGTGAAATCTGACTGTCGCCAGCGGTGGCGTCGTGAGATCTCTCTCCCAGGTCTGAGTAGTCAGAGGGCGTGGGGGACACAGAGGCTCTGGGAGATGTCATGCCGTTGAAGCTGTCTTCTCGTGATCGTACAGTCAGGTCTTCTGCTGTTCGCTGTTCAGCACTACCTGTTGACGAGGACCTCGAAGAAGTACTGAAGGGACGAAGGTATTTCTCCTCTTCTGTATTACGCTCTTCATTTTCTACCATCTCCCGGTGCCTGAGTGCTTCAGGGGAGAGCTGGTATCTCAGGTGCAGAGGGAGCGGAGGAAACCCTTGAAGGGGAGGAGGGGGTAGCGGGAAGCCTGAGGGCATCAGCTGCGGCAGTGACCCAGGATTGTGGAGGTGTGGATAATCTCGGACTTCGGCTGCAGCGATCTGCTCGGGACTGAGGTCTGTAGGCTCTCCCGTGTGCTGTCTGATATGTTGCTGCAGGACTAAAGCGTTCGTGTATTTCTTGTGACACACAGGACACTGATGTAACATTCTCATGGGTGGTTTGGCACGATGAACGCCCATGTGTGTCTTAAGATTACCCTTAGTAGTAAAGGCTCGACCACATATTTTACATTTGAACGGTCTTTCTCCGGTGTGTGTTCGGTAGTGCATCTGCAAGGCAGACTTGCAGGAGAGAACTCGGTGGCAAATGACACACTGATTTGGGTCTGTTAGTTTATTTTCAATATTATTCACTAGCTGTTCTAATTTCATGGTTTCACTGGTTTTCTGGACCTCAATGAGGGCTTCCCATGAGTTGTCTGTACTGCCGGGCTTCGGTAAGAGGTTAGTGTAAATATGAGGATCTTTGGCAGGGTCTATGCCCGGGGGAATATTAATGGCTGGAGGAGGGCCCATTGGTCCAGGGAATGAGGTAGGAATTCCAGGAAGAAAGGGAAAGTTAAGAGGAAGCCTTGGACCTGAGAAAGGAATAGTTGGCATCCCAATAGGACGAAATTCTGGTCGCATCCTGAGGTCCGTTGGCTGGTCCGAAGTAAGGGATCGTGAATCACTACTGTCCATATCTGGCTCGTCTTTGGTAATGCTGTTTCCCTCGCTGGTGTCCTTGAGTTCTCTTTCTGTACGAACTCGGATGTCTAATGGCGCTTGGTCGGGGTTCAATTCACGCTCACTGCTTCTTCTGTCCATCAAGTTCCTCATCTCCTGGGAGTCGATGAACCTCTCTTTAGATGGCTCCCGCTCATTCTCAAGTCTGTTCTCCTTCTCATACTTATTTTCGCTATCGTATTTATTTTCACTTTCAAATGTGTTATCGTCATCGAACCTATTCTCTTCGTTAAATTTTTTATCTTCATCAAATATTTTCTCGTCATTATATCTACTTTCAGTGTCAAAACCTTTTTCACTGTCAAAAACTTTTTCACTCTCAAAACGTTTTTCACTCTCAAATCTCTTTTCATCTTCGAATCGCTTTTCGTTGTCAAAAGTTGTATCGCTATCGAATCTTTTCTCAGTTTCAAATGATTTCTCACCATCGAATCCCTGATGGTCATCGAACCGTTTTTCACTGCTGAACCTCGCTTCAGCGGCCTCCCTTTCCTCTGATATTTCGTCTATATCATTTAGTTCTGCGGTATCATCCTTCTCTATTTTCTCTTCAAACTTTGGAAGTCGCAAGGACTCAGCCAAGTCCATTGTGGCAGATTCCATTTTCTCTGAACTGAAATCTCGCTGGACTGGCGCCGGCGACGACCGAGGTTCTGAGATGCTCAGGTTCTCTGGCTCATCTTCTCTACTTTGTCTAGCTAGGTTGAGAAGATTAAAAGGTCTGTGTAGGTCTAGGGAAGGAGGACCTGGTAACCGGTATGGAGGTAGAGAGGGACCTCCTGGTAAGGAGGTGAAAGGATTTGGAGGTCCAGTCGGAGGTGAAGGATAGTCCTTTAGTTCTCCCAGTTGGGCTAATAGTGGTGGATGGAATTTGTCCAGATGCTCGGGAACTGGATGTGGATTCATTTTGACATGAGGGAACCGACTCGCGTGTCGCTGGAAATGCACTTTAAGGTTCCCCTTCGTTGTAAACCTGTTACCGCAGATGTTACACTTGAAAGGGCGTTCTCCAGTGTGGGATCTGATATGGATTTGGAGAGCTGAATCACTGCCAAAGACCTTGCCACAGTACCTGCATCGATGCTTGTAGTAAGGATCTTTACCATCGCTTGGCTTGTGGTCATCAATGAGACGATTGGTTAGTAGCCCTTGGGAGGCACTGTTGAGGACACTATTGGCTGTACGCTGCAGCATCTCAAGAGTGTTAGGCTCGTCAGGAGGCGGCGGATCAGTATGTTGAATAACGGAGGAGGCGATGCTAGACGCTGTCATAGGTGGGGAAATAGGTCTGTCCCTTGGATCTAAAGGTGGACCACTGGTGCTTGCAGTACATAGGGGCGAGCTTCCTGGCGGACGTTCACTATTGTTTTCGCTAGTTGGTGGAACCTTGAACCTTTCCATAAGTGTGCTAATAAAGGAGCTGCTGACGTTCTGGCTACCTTCACTTGTTGGTGGTACTGAGGATCTGGATGTGGGTGTGGGCGGGGATGGAGGCTCCTGGCGTTCTTGGGTCTCACTAGCACCCTTTGATTCACTATCTGAAAAATTGGGTAATCCAGGGCTCCCCTCTTTATTCTTAATTGAGAGTTGTGCCTGAAGTTGTTGGATAAGTTGAAGCTGCATCATTTGTTGGTGTTGCAATGTGTAAAGAGTTCCCTGGAGCAAAGCGAACTCTTGCATAGTCTGAGGGTTGCTGGGACTCGAGGAGTTCAGGGCAGAGCTTGCAAACTGAGCAAGCGCCATCCTAGTGTTTTGTATAGCTTCCAACGCCAGGTTGGACTGAGCTAACTGCTGCGCAATAGGTCCTACCTGCGGAGGTGCGGCCGACTGTGCCAAGAGATGTCTAATCTGCGCCAATGGACCGCACTCCGCGGGATTGCTATCGCTGTCGTAGCCATTGTTGCGGTCAACAGAGGACTCGCGGGATTCTGGCGTGGCTTCGTGAGCTGTCCTGGCCTTCAGGATGTGCGCCTGGTTGTTGTTAGCGACGTCCTGGTGTCGGCGGAGCTCGTCCGGGTGGTCGGAGTCGGGATGGTGGGGTCGCGGAGTGTCGGGCACCGCCAGAACCGCCGGCTCCCGACCACAAGTTACCCGATGCTCCTCCAACTGCTCCCGAGACAAGAGCTCCGCCCGGCAGTATGGACAGATGTGCGTCTCGTCAGCTTCGCCTGCCGAAGAACAAACTCTTTAGAATAAAGAAGTAAACACTGGTTAATATAAGCTAATAGGCGTGACCAGGAGCTGTGACTCGACCCCATCACGCACGACTAGGTGAGAACTAGATGAATATTACTGATTAAGTCATCTTGACGTCGAAAGTAATTGAAATAAAAGTTATGATGACAAAAATGACACAATGCTGATGTAATTTCGCTAAAATTTTAAACATTCGTTCAAGTTACCTCGAAAAAAAGAGTAATCTTAAAACACTCATGATGTTTATTATATAAAAGCATTACTAAACTATCAAATTTAATGTAGTGATCAGCAACCCTTGTGTTTCCCAGATCACAGACTCCAGTTAATGACAAGTTTTTTGTGAGTGAGAGAATTTACAAGCTAGGAATCATCCTGTCTCAGGGCATGTCAAAGCTGAGGTATACTATCCCCTACCCCCGTCATCCCAAGGATATCACCCACTCACATTATGTAAGGTATACCATCCACTCACATTATCTAGGGTATACCACCCACTCAGCATTAACTAAGGTATACCACCCACTCAGCATTATCTAAGATATACCACCCACTCACATTATCTAGGGTATACCACCCACTCAGCATTATCTAAGGTATACCAGCCACTCAGCATTATCTAAGATATACCACCCACTCACATTATCTAGGGTATACCACCCACTCAGCATTATCTAAGATATACCACCCACTCAGCATTATCTAAGATATACCACCCACTCACATTATCTAAGGTATACCACCCACTCAGCATTATCTAAGATATACCACCCACTCAGCATTATCTAAGATATACCACCCACTCAGCATTATCTAAGATATACCACCCACTCACATTATCTAAGGTATACCACCCACTCAGCATTATCTAAGATATACCACCCACTCACATTATCTAGGGTATACCACCCGCTCAGCATTATCTAAGGTATACCAGCCACTCAGCATTATCTAAGGTATAATACCCCTCCCCCAGGATATCACCCATAATAGAGGTCTAACATCTAGGTACATAATTATTGCTAGGTAAACAGAGAACAACAGGTGTAAGGACATTTACCTATACTCTTGTCTCGCCTTTATTGACCTCGGCTCTACCCCTCCCTCCTGACTCACACAATATCTCCCCCTCCCTCCTGACTCACACAATATCTCCCCCTCCCTCCTGACTCACACAACATCTCCCCCTCCCTCCTGACTCACACAATATCTCCCCCTCCCTCCTGACTCACACAACATCTCCCCCTCCCTCCTGACTCACACAATATTTCCCCCTCCCTCCTGACTCACACAACATCTCCCCCTCCCTCCTGACTCACACAATATCTCCCCCTCCCTCCTGACTCACACAACATCTCCCCCTCCCTCCTGACTCACACAATATCTCCCCCTCCCTCCTGACTCACACAATATCTCCCCCTCCCTCCTGACTCACACAATATCTCCCCTCCCTCCTGACTCACACAATATCTCCCCCTCCCTCCTGACTCACACAACATCTCCCCCTCCCTCCTGACTCACACAATATCTCCCCCTCCCTCCTGACTCACACAACATCTCCCCCTACCTCCTGACTCACACAATATCTCCCCCTCCCTCCTGACTCACACAACATCTCCCCCTCCCTCCTGACTCACACAATATCTCCCCCTCCCTCCTGACTCACACAATATCTCCCCCTCCCTCCTGACTCACACAATATCTCCCCCTCCCTCCTGACTCACACAACATCTCCCCCTCCCTCCTGACTCACACAATATCTCCCCCTCCCTCCTGACTCACACAATATCTCCCCCTCCCTCCTGACTCACACAACATCTCCCCCTTCCTCCTGACTCACACAATATCTCCCCCTCCCTCCTGACTCACACAATATCTCCCCCTCCCTCCTGACTCACACAATATCTCCCCCTCCCTCCTGACTCACACAACATCTCCCCCTCCCTCCTGACTCACACAATATCTCCCCCTCCCTCCTGACTCACACAATATCTCCCCCTCCCTCCTGACTCACACAACATCTCCCCCTCCCTCCTGACTCACACAATATCTCCCCCTCCCTCCTGACTCACACAACATCTCCCCCTCCCTCCTGACTCACACAACATCTCCCCCTCCCTCCTGACTCACACAATATCTCCCCCTCCCTCCTGACTCACACAATATCTCCCCCTCCCTCCTGACTCACACAACATCTCCCCTCCCTCCTGACTCACACAAATCTCCCCCTCCCTCCTGACTCACACAATATCTCCCCCCTCCCTCCTGACTCACACAACATCTCCCCCTCCCTCCTGACTCACACAACATCTCCCCCTCCCTCCTGACTCACACAATATCTCCCCCTCCCTCCTGACTCACACAACATCTCCCCCTCCCTCCTGACTCACACAAATCTCCCCCTCCCTCCTGACTCACACAACATCTCCCCCTCCCTCCTGACTCACACAATATCTCCCCCTCCCTCCTGACTCACACAACATCTCCCCCTCCCTCCTGACTCACACAACATCTCCCCCTCCCTCCTGACTCACACAATATCTCCCCCTCCCTCCTGACTCACACAATATCTCCCCCTCCCTCCTGACTCACACAACATCTCCCCCTCCTCCTGACTCACACAATATCTCCCCCTCCCTCCTGACTCACACAATATCTCCCCCTCCCTCCTGACTCACACAATATCTCCCCCTCCCTCCTGACTCACACAACATCCTCCCCCTCCCTCCTGACTCACACAATATCTCCCCCTCCCTCCTGACTCACACAATATCTCCCCCTCCCTCCTGACTCACACAAATCTCCCCCTCCCTCCTGACTCACACAAATCTCTCCCCCTCCCTCCTGACTCACACAACATCTCCCCCTCCCTCCTGACTCACACAACTATCTCCCCCTCCCTCCTGACTCACACAACATCTCCCCTCCCTCCTGACTCACACAATATCTCCCCCTCCCTCCTGACTCACACAATATCTCCCCCTCCCTCCTGACTCACACAACATCTCCCCCTCCCTCCTGACTCACACAATATCTCCCCCTCCCTCCTGACTCACACAATACTCCCCCTCCTCCTGACTCACACAACATCTCCCCCTCCCTCCTGACTCACACATATCTCCCCCTCCCTCCTGACTCACACAAATCTCCCCCCTCCCTCCTGACTCACACAATATCTCCCCCTCCCTCCTGACTCACACACAACATCTCCCCTCCCTCCTGACTCACACAATATCTCCCCCTCCCTCCTGACTCACACAATATCTCCCCCTCCCTCCTGACTCACACAACATCTCCCCCTCCCTCCTGACTCCACAAATCTCCCCCTCCCTCCTGACTCACACAAATCTCCCCCTCCCTCCTGACTCACACAACATCTCCCCCTCCCTCCTGACTCTCACAACATCTCCCCCTCCCTCCTGACTCACACAAATCTCCCCCTCCCTCCTGACTCACACAATATCTCCCCCTCCCTCCTGACTCCACAATATCTCCCCCTCCCCTCCTGACTCACACAATATCTCCCCCCTCCCTCCTGACTCACACAAATCTCCCCCTCCCTCCTGACTCACACAACATCTCCCCCTCCCTCCTGACTCACACAATATCTCCCCCTCCCTCCTGACTCACACAATATCTCCCCCTCCCTCCTGACTCACACAACATCTCCCCCTCCCTCCTGACTCGCACAACATCTCCCCCTCCCTCCTGACTCACACAATATCTCCCCCTCCCTCCTGACTCACACAAATCTCCCCCTCCCTCCTGACTCACACAACATCTCCCCCTCCCTCCTGACTCACACAATATCTCCCCCTCCCTCCTGACTCACACAAATCTCCCCCTCCCTCCTGACTCCACAATATCCCCCCCCTCCGCTCCCCTCCCCCCTGACTCACACAATATCTCCCCCCCTCCCTCCTGACTCACACAATATCTCCCCCTCCCTCCTGACTCACACAACACTCCCTCCCTCCTGCCACACACCCCCCTCCCTCCTGACTCACACAATATCTCCCCCCCCCCGACTCACCAACATTCCCCCTCCCTCCTGACTCTCACAATATCTCCCCCTCCCTCCTGACTCCACACAACATTCTCCCCCCTCCCTCCTGACTCACACAATATCTCCCCCTCCCTCCTGACTCACACAATATCTCCCCCTCCCTCCTGACTCACACAATATCTCCCCCTCCCTCCGACTCACACAACTATCTCCCCCTCCCTCCTGACTCACACAAATATCTCCCCCTCCCTCCTGACTCACACAATATCTCCCCCTCCCTCCTGACTCACACAATATCTCCCCCTCCCTCCTGACTCACACAACATCTCCCCCTCCCTCCTGACTCACACAATATCTCCCCCTCCCTCCTGACTCACACAATCATCTCCCCCTCCCTCCTGACTCACAACATCTCCCCCTCCCTCCTGACTCACACAACATCTCCCCCTCCCTCCTGACTCACACAATACTCCCCCTCCCTCCTGACTCACACAACATCTCCCCCTCCCTCCTGACTTCACACATACTCCCCCTCCCCTCCTCTCACCAACTCCCCCTCCCTCCTACTCACACAATATCTCCCCCTCCCTCCTGACTCACACAATATCTCCCCCTCCCTCCTGACTCACACAACATCTCCCCCTCCCTCCTGACTCACACAACATCTCCCCCTCCCTCCTGACTCACACAATATCTCCCCCTCCCTCCTGACTCACACAACATCTCCCCCTCCCTCCTGACTCACACAATATCTCCCCCTCCCCTCCTGACTCACACAAATCTCCCCCTCCCTCCTGACTCACACAACATCTCCCCCTCCCTCCTGACTCACACAAATCTCCCCCTCCCTCCTGACTCACACAATATCTCCCCCTCCCTCCTGACTCACACAAATCTCCCCTCCCTCCTGACTCACACAACATCTCCCCCTCCCTCCTGACTCACACAATATCTCCCCCTCCCTCC